TTATGTTTTTTTATTATATTTTATAAAACAAATTATTTTTCTTAATGAATTAAATTGTTATTTCGATGTTAAAACAGTTATCCCTCAATATTGTAAAAATTAGCTGTTGGGCAGTCCTATATAAATGTGACCAATCCTCAGCTGAATGTTTCATGTCTCATATTTTTGTGTTCAGGTCTTTCCTATGAGAATGCCGAGTGTGGCAGATTCTCAATCTATCATCAATCAACTTCTTCTCTTCTACTATTTTGGTTTCTGCTTTTCCATGCTTTAGGTTCTATCTATGTGGTGTCTACGACCCTCAGTGGATCTTGGCCTCCTCAATGAGTCTCTGCCATTCAGTTCTGTCCTGTACTGCCGCCTTCCAGATGATCTCTAGCAGGTTTCCGTCGCTCCGACAGCCCACCTTGACCTTGGTCTTCCAACTTTTCTGGCCCTATGAAGAAACTCTTGAGATACCTTCCTCGGGATTTCTTCTTCATTCATCCTACCCACGTGACCAGCCCAACTGAGTTTACCAAGCTTAATGAATCTGACCACGTCAGCCTCCTTGTAGGTTTGGTAGAGCTCTTGATTCTTTTCAATGGACCAATAATACGCCGGAAGAGTTTTCGTTCAAAAATCATTTGTTTGAACTGGTCGGATTAAGGTCTTATAAAGAGTAAGCTTGGTTTTTCTGCTCATGAGTCTGTTTCGAATGTTCTTCAGTAGTCCAATTTTGGTTTCTATTTTAGCGTACATGACTCCTTGGATGTTTCCCAAAGCTTGTCCCATCTCTTTTTAGCTTGAAGTATAAGAAAGCTACATAGATCTGATATAGTTCAATTCCGATAAATTATAAGGATTATAATGCTGCCTCCTTGGCTGTTTGGTCGATGGCTTAATTTCCTTTAATTTTCACGTGTGTTGGTTTCATGATGATTACAATGGTCTTGTTCAAGTCTTTAATCATAAAATGATAAGCATGGGCTTTCTTAATTACTCATCAATAGATGAATAGATAGTGACAATCGGTCATCCATAGAGACCAGTAGCCAAAGATCGTTGGTCTTATCCATTTCAAACCTCAGGATGATGAACTTAGTTTAAAGTTCATAGCACTGTGACTTTTCCTTTGTCTTGTGATGTGAGTAACAAGTTACAGTTACGTATTATATTTTATATTAATACATATGTGTTAATACTTAAATAATATTCCGTAATATTCATACTCATCTTAATATGATATGAAATACTCTGGAGTGATTTATAAAAAGTATTTGAATATGAATGGAGTAATGAAAAAGGTATAACGGCGGTGGTCACACAGCGATAACACGTGAAGCTTCCTAGAGCGGGAAGGACCAAGGACCCTGGACAAGCCTTGGACAAGAGCCAGAACAGCATGGCCTTAGCACCCGATCTTAACTTCTCTTCCTTTATGTTGTCGATAACGTTAAATTTATTAATAATTCTCTTCGCTATACAATGCAGAGTATCATTAATTATTTCATTAAATTTTATAAGTAATTAATTAATTAGTATAACATTGAATTATCAATTAAATGTTTCCTAGTTTTACATACGATCGTTCTCTGGAACTTATTAACTCCAGAGAAAGTTGAATCATTTTTTACTTAATTTCTTATCTGTTTAGTGAATTATTTTGAAACTACCCAGAGTAGCTCATCGATTATAATTAAAATTTCCAAAGCGTACACAATTATAAATATTCTGATTAAAGAGAGAATCAAGGACGTGCTCAGAAATGTTATACTATAGAAGCGTATGAAATGAATATTAATATTTTAGGAACATTTGTGTCTTCTGAACTTTTTCAGAAGACACAATTGAAAAAGTCATCAAACCAGAGAAGAAATTCATATACTTATCTTGAAGGCACCTCTGATTGTAACATCGAGAGAAAGATCGGAGAATGTTCCATTTCCATAATTCTTTCATTTTCAATTTATTCCGTTCTGAATTCGCTCCAAGTCCATTTTTACTGCTAGCAGTCTTTTCTGGTGTTTGGCCTTAATGGGTCATGTCTCCGAGACGTATGTCGTTAGGCTCGAATATAGATTTGTTTATTAGTCTCTTGTTCAGAAAACACAACTGAAAAAGTCATTAAACCAGAGAAGAAATTGATATACCTATATTGAAGGTTGTATTGAAGGTTGTACTTGTAACACAGAAAGGAAGATCAGTAAATGAAAAAAGCCACTGCAACGCTCATCGGTATCCTTTGAAGTTAAAATATGCCGCCCATTACAAAGAGACTAATATACAAATCTATATTAGACCCTATAACGACATACGTCTCGGAGACATGACCCATTAAGGCCAAACACTAGAAAAGACTGCTAGCAGTAAAAATGGACTTGAAGGAAATTCAGAACGGAATGAATTGAAAATGAAAGAATTATGGAAACGGTGGAAATGGAAATGCGAAAAGGAGCATTCTCGCAAATATTGAAGAAGAAGAAGAAATACTCTAGTTTGGGCATGCTAAAAGAAAGTCTCCAGAAAGACTATCATATTAATTATAAAAATATTTGATAAGTATGGAATGAGATGTAGAAGAAATAATGAAATATGGAAGACCTAAGGATGAAGTGGAAAGACGAGGCGCAAGAAAGTCTGAAGTACACCGCATCAAAGAAGAACAAGACTAGGATAGATAAGAATGTAAAAATATCTATGAAAGCCTCAGTACTGCAAAATTTCTATTTAAAAAAAAAGTAAAATTTCACTTTTTATTAAATGAAATCTGATGTTTTATGACAAGAAAATTGTAGCTGAAAGATATGGTGCTTTTGGTAAATTTTAATCCATAAATAAATGACATAAACAAACGATAAGGCTGCCCGTTATTAGAACAAATTTAAATCACCCTTGATATGAGAGAATTATCTATGATTTCATTATAGAACGTTTGATAATCGGTCACATTGTAAAAATGTATAAAGGTGACACAGTCATGTTGTTCCCCATACTGACCAGGGAGAGTGCAAAGTCGAAGATTGCTTCATTTCCTTGTTCTTCAAATATTTTTATTCTTTGCTCAAAGCAGTTATAGGTCATAGCTTACCTTTGTTTTTCTTGTGAATATTGAGTAGGCTTTTGGCCACCGAAAGCTTTTCTGGAGACTAGTACTTACAGCAGAGCTTCCAGAAACAAATATATGTAATATTTTTTTCTCCTTTATTTGAGAAGTTCCTGATTACTATTTATAAGTTGAGCTTAAAAAAAAAAAGTTTCTTTATGACGTATAATCAGTATATTTGTCAAATATCCTTACAAGTTAACGTTTCGGGATTATTTTCCCGTCATCAGAACTGTTCATAGTTTTTCTATTTATTTTCTTTTTTGTTTGTGTGCTTCCTTGTCAGTAACATCTTTTTATTTCATTTTTTGACTTTAAGATTGTAAAGAGCAATACATTTTATGTTACCTACCATTGGCTTCATCTCTATCCGTGACTGACAAAGGAAAACACAGAAAATAATTGTAAAAAAAAAGTACAGAGATTTCTGATAGTGGAAAAATATTCCTGAAACTTTATTTTTTATGGATATGTGATAAATGTATTGTTTATGTGTCACAAAGAAAGTTTTTTTTAGCCAAATATACGAATCAGAATTTATTATTTTATTTTTTAATGTTAAATTCAGTTGAAAATATTAATGAATTCAGTAATTGTTTTATCCAGTTTGTTTTAGAAAATAAGTCCATATCTATCCGTGATTCATACTTAAAAAATAAAATAAAATCCTCATCTAAAGAGTTTGTATTTCTATCCCTATTTCATCTTCAATCTATCGCACCAATATGATTTCCATTTATTGTTAAGCGAATAACTGTCACTTGTAACAATTATTTATGATAAATATATGATCAACAGAATATGTTTTGAAATATATCCAAACAAAAGTACTTATTATATTTTCATATATCATTTTAAAACATATTATTATTAGTTATACATATCCCTGACTCAATAAATTTGCCATCTACCTCGGTGTTCAGCAAATATGATATCAAGGAGAAGAAATGACAGCTTAAAGAAAAAAGAATAGTAATAACAAAACAAAAAGACAAAAAAAAAAGTAGTAAAATAACACATACATAATAACGCACACGAAAAAAGATAATGCAGCAAGTAGCTCAATGCAATAAGTCTCTTGGCCAGCGCCTCAGCAGTCTTCTAGGCGGATTATATGGATTTGTGGCAGTTGATCCAGCTTGAGTAAGTGGATTGGGATTTAGAGTCAGTCTGTCATGAAAATTATTAAAGCGGTCAGTGGCAGTTGCCGTGATGAAAGCAATGTTAAGGTCAGTGTGTAACGTGAGGTTTGAAACATAAAATGGTGCGTCTACAATTTTCCGAAGACTGGAATGACTGGATGATTTTTTATATTTGATTTCTTTGCTGTTCCCCATAGTTCGATCCCATATGTCCATAGTGGTTTAATGAGGACTTTGTAAATAGTTAGTTTATTAGTCACAGATAATTTAGAACGTCTGTCAAGTAGCCTAGAAAGAAGTCCGTATCGTTGATTAAGTTCTTTTCTTTTTTGTTGTATGCGGTATGTCCATGTCAGTCGTTTGTCCAAGTGGAGACCCAAATATCGTACAGTTTTTGAAGGTGGTAGAGCGATATTATTAAAGAACACTGGAGAACAAGAGTCATGTTTAAGTGTAAATGAAACAAATTGGCTCTTAGACTAGTTCATTTTTATTCTCCACCTTTTAGCCCAACAAGCTATGTCGTCTAGGTGTTCTTCAAGTACCTGAGAAGCCTTACCTGCATCCTTTTTAGACGTTAATATTGCCGAGTCATCAGCAAATGTAGCCAACAGTGTTTCAGAATGTTGTGGGATGTCTTAAAACATATTGTAACTTTATCTTCTCTTAGCTATTCATCTTGAATTACTCTGGCTTCCTCACTTATGTCCTAAGGCATATAGATTATTACATATTACTATAATAACGTTAATATATACTGTTTTGTTGTTGCAGGTTACTACCAGCCCGCGGGCCCGTTGATCTCGCACGGCGGCAGCGGTTCCAAGTCAGCCACGCCGGAGCCGTACCCGCCGCACCCGCACCCGTACCCGTACCCTGCCTACGACTACCCCGGGTACTACAGGGGCTACCGCCGCCCATGGGCCTCCACCTCCCAGATGATGGACTACCTGGACTACCCACCCCCGCACCCCAGCTACTACCCCTATCCAACGCCACCACCGCCTCCGCCGCCTCCTCCGCCTCCACCGCCATGCTACTCGTCCCCGGTCAGGGGACTACCTTACATGGGTAAGTACTCACAGTCATTTTATCATCTTCTTATTTTTCTTTTTTTAGGAAGCCTGCGTTTATAATTTTTTTCATAGTTAAGGCAATAATACTTCCAATTTCCTTCAAATCCCTTTAATCACATTTGTTATTTCTAACGTTTCGGGACTATTTTCCCATCATCAGAGCAATCCTTATCCTCACTAAAACTTGCTTTTTTGATGTGGTACCATTTGTCGAAAATTCAAATATTCATCACTTTCATTTTATATTTTTTTGGCCCTCATTTTATATTTTATTGACTGCAATAGAAAAAGAACTCACCTATTCCCAAGTTGTGATCTTTGTCGATTCACAAGCAGCCATACTGTCGATCTGCAATGGCCTGGACCATCCTGATATCACTAGTGCCAGAAATCGGATTAATGACTTAATTAAAAAAGGAATCCGAGTGGCTTTCCAATGGGTTCCAAGCCATTGCGGGCTACCAGCAAACGAAAAAGCTGATGAGCTCGCACGGATCGCCTCGGAAATGCCACAAACTAATCCCCCGCTGTCCTACGAATCTGTTAAAAGGATTTTAAAATCATTTTACAAGATAGAGAATAAGAGTTGGCAAAAGCGACAGGCAGCGGGGAAAAAATGGGAATGTTTAACAGAGGAGACGACAAAACAAACCAAAAATAGGAAAGAATTGGTGGCAAACAGGGCACGATTACCTGCAAAGGCATTTACATAGGATCGGAGTGGTGGAAAGTCCTGTGTGCCCTCTTTGCCAACAGGACGAGATGTACGACCTGCACCTCTCAGTTTGCCCCGCTCTGTCAGATGTCCGCAGTACTTCTGATGGGATCGGAACAAATGTAAACAAACGATTCATGGCGGAATTGTACTGGGCTGCCAGAAGCCGAATGGCCTAATAGCCAACGGCAGGGCGTTTAATAAAAAAAAAATTTTTTTTGGTGTTACACATCCTTTCTTATTCATTGTTACACTAACCAACATCTGTCTATCTTCAGTTTCATTACTGTAAAGTATAGCTGGATGTGTTAGAATAAGAAAGGATGTGTAACACCAAAAAAATATAAAATGAATGTGATAAATATTTGAATTTTTGACAAACGGTGCCACATCAAAAAAGCACGTTAGAGATAATAAATGTGATTAAAGGGATTTGAAGGAAATTGTAAATATTATTGCCTTAACTATGAAAAAAGTCATTTTATTTTATTTATCAATGAATATATTTCTAATAGTAATCTAGAGTTGGGGGTTCTCGAACTGTTGTAATAATATTTTATGCCAATGAGTGAAAATTCACCAAGAAACCTCTACGACTCCACGACATCAAAGCACATACGTATTTATTATGTTTGGGATTGTATGTTATGGAGTGATGTGGTCTTGTCCTTTTCTATCTTAATGATACCTGAATTGGCGAATCATTGACGATCATTTTATTCATCAATGATATTCTTTAGTTGCATTTTAGAGGTACAAAGCTGTGTAGTCTTAAAATTTTCCAAATGTAACTTAACAATGCAATTTAATTTCAATTTTTAATATTTAATGGCGAATTGAAATTCTAAAAATTAATGTTTTTTTATTTATATAAAAAATTAAAATTAAGCTATAAATTACTAACAAAATAATCAAGATACAGGACATAGATGTTAGGCTATTTATTGAAAAATTCCAACAACCCAAGAAAAACCCGTTAACGTTTCGCTAATTCAGGCATCATCAGGACATTTTGGAAGCATAAGGTGGTTTGACATTTTTACAATAATAACCTAATATTAAAATTAAGATAATTCAAATTTAAGATATCTCTACTTTTATAAATATATAGAATTTAAGATATCTCTACTTTTATAAATATATAGCACAATAAAGTGGTTGAGATTTAGTATAAATATACTGTGATTTTTTTAATAGTCGTTCAATAATCGTGGTTAAAGAAATCGGAGAATCGCTTATCAGGGTCTACGTAAAATTTATTAGCGGCTTAAAGAAAAATAAATATCTTTTCAAATATTAACATATTATTTGACAATTCTAAAAAATAAAAAATACTAGGAGACTCGTTTTTTTTTTTAAATATAAATGTTATGAATAATCAAAAAAATGCTTTTAACATTTTTATCATATAATGTCGTATTTTTTACGGGCTCTCGGATCATTAAATGAAGACAAGAAAACTATAAAAATAAATACATCAATGATGATGAAATCTGTCCAAGAACTGGTGCTCGAAAGAAAATTATATGTTTGCCTGCAGAAATCAATATTAATTCAGTGATATAGATTTATAAAAAAATACTTTTGAAAAAATGTAAAAATTTAGGTACTTAAAATCGATGATTACTAAAAAAAATAATAAACTGAAGGAAAAAGTCAGGTTAGGCTAAAGGATGAAAATGTTTCTTATTTATTGGTTGTAAAATCTCTGTTTTCATCCCGAATCCTGTAAAAATAAAAAAATTATTATTAATCCTACAGATTTTTACGGATGCAAAACGTGATCGCTGACATTAATGGATGAACAAGGCCTTTGGGTTTTTAAAAAATAATTGCGCAAAATATTTGGACTAGCATATTTGCTTGTCAAATGAAGAATTCAGACGGCTACACAACGTCGAATGTCAGGAACTGTCTCCGATGAATATAATTGAGATAATAATTTTTCCGCTAATCGTTAGTAGCAAACGAATTCCTAAATAGCTAATAAGCGCTGTGCCCACTGGTATACGTCCATGAGGTAGACCGAAGGGAATAAGGGAGGATTGCGTTGATGACTGATCTTATGGGGTTGGTTGGGCAACGATTGGTGTTATTGGCATCGAACATTCGGGTTCCCTATCCCTTTTAGCATTATCTCTAAATAAATAACTAAAATATACTTTTCACGTATTTTTAAAAAGCCTGATTTTTCTAAAAATAAATATTAAAAAATGGTTATGTAAAAAAAATTCATCTGTGCTTTTTACACAGACTTGATCTTTTAGCCATTGATCCTTTAAACGGGTGCTGCACGGCAGTTGGAATGACATCCCGAGTGATGATTGACATTTATTGATCATGTAAGGTTAAAACTGATGGATTGAACTGTACTAACCGATGTCCACAAATCTAGATATTCGACCTTCAATTACGTGAAATAAAGACAGAGGTGAAAAATGGAGGGGAGCGTACCTTCAATTATATACAAGGTCTTACAACCATTGTGTATTCCAAATTTTTATTTAAAATAAACAATTTTTCATATGTTTATTCTTCCATCTTCAAATAAATAAATTAATCTCTTCTATGAAATAATAAAATGGAGAATAATTAATAAAAATGGAATTCAGATCATGTTTAATAAAAAATAATCGTTAACTGTTGTATCTGATGTGATTTAGTTATTTTTCTCTCGTTTTCAAAGGTGTTTACAATTTTAGCAATATTTCCCTTTAATTTCTTAAATAATTGAGCATTGTTTTTACTAATTGCTTTCAAAAACAATTACGTGGTATATTGTTTCAATTTATTAATATCCTATGCTAGGATAATGGTTACACAATCTTTATCAAATATAATATTAACCGACATTGCGCGTTCAGATCCGTGCCGTCAGATGTCCCAGCGTCATCAAAGCTAAAATAACGTCAGTCCTATACGTGTAGGGTTTACTCTATGGTAATTAATGGTCAATTAAATATTCATTTATCCTAATCCTAATTATAATGTTTTTGTTTTCGTGAAGTTATTCAAGCAATTTGCGTGCTTAATTTTTTCAGAACTATTAATTAGTAATATTAAGCTATTATCTTAAAATGATGTTGATGTTCTCTTATTTTTGTGGCATGAGGAATTTCATTTACCCAATTATGGCTATTTCTGAAATTAAATATTCCTTTTTTGGTAATTGTCAAAAATAAGATATTCTTCTAAGGTATGGAATATTCCTTCCTTTAATTTTTAAATGCTTCAATGTTATATCTCAATGCAGTATTAATTAACAAGAGGACTTTAATTATCAGTTTAAGGCAAATCTTATTACGATTGCTTACTGTTTCTAAAAAAATGAAATCCATCAATTGCTTGCTCAATGCTGAAAATTGAGATAGATTTTTTATACATTTATTTTTAACTCACCCTATCTCAGCTTATTTTATAAGAAACTTCAATCCAATCAATATGGACGTAAAACTAATACAAAAATAGCCAATAATACATGTTCTCTGGAAATATATAAAATATCGTATAATAGAAAATAGTAAATATTAAAATTCTCTTTTAAGTTGGTTTTTATAAAAAAAACTACTTGCATTTGAAGAAAAATTGGTTTAGCTTACTATAATACAATTGGTAATTACCTAAATCAAATATTGTTTTGGTAGGCAGTCCTGGAAAAATGCGATTCAACAAAACACATGGCACCTAAAAATCACGAGTTTAAATATCCATCTTTTCTCTGCAAAATCAGATTGTGGGTTATAAATTAACTCCTTGTAGCTCTTAGCTACCATCATTTTAAATATTTTCTTTTATTTTCGTGATACCCTGAATACATACAGTCGATACACATCACGAAATCCTCCATGTTCATATAATTAAATTCAATTTATTAATTTATTTTCTAGATTTAAATTTAAATTCATCTTGAATGATTAACATTAAAATATTTACTGAATGTAGTATACAGCAGGGAGAGATTTTAATCAACTAGCTTTTCGGGCAAATAAAAGATGATATCTAAATTTTGTTCAATATCTCTTTCTTTGAGCTATTCCTCTTTCTCTTTAAATAACTTATTGTGAAATCTCAACAAAGTCCAAAAAATGTTTTCATATTCTATGTTAATATTTCAGGAGATAAATAATCCGGAAGCAGTAATTTTTGAGATTTTATTATTGTTGCCAAGGTTGCAAACCGTGTGGGTCATCATCATGGAATATTTGCAGTACTGAAGATGCCTTGATGATGAACCAAATCCTAGGGTTGAAACGTTGGCAACAATAATAAAGTCTCAAAGA